AAGGCTGGTATTAAAACATTACGCACTGGAAATCTGGACATCCGCCCTCGCTCTACTTAGCAAGTTCCTGAGAGTTCATGAGAGATGGCTGATCCGGCTTCTCAAGTGACTCACTGACTCATTGATCCAGACAGCTGGAGGGGAAGAGTTTCAGAGATTTATGACTTTTTCTCTGTTCCTCATACAAAGCTGCTGCGTGACTTGAATTGAAATATATAGACCAGTGTTTGTCAACTCCAGTCCCACTGGATCCACTGCTCTGCACATTTTGTATGTCTACCTTATTTAACTCCGCTGATTCATTAACTTGTTAGGAAAGAGATCCACAAACTGAACTGTGTCAAATAAGAGAGATGTACAAAATGTGCAGAGCAGTGGATCCCCAGGACTGGAGCTGAGAAATACCGATATAGACCACTTTAATGATGCATGTATGTTAATTATGCTTTTGTGTCCTTTTTGATGCTTAAAAGCAGTGGTATTTTAGTATTGTTTATATACTGTTGTAGCATCTATTTACTCCTATCTATCTATCTATCTATCTATATATATATCTATCTATCTTAGTTTTAGTAATTTTGTTAATGTACTTCTGATATTTTATTAGTTTTATTAGTACTTCAGCTTTAACTAATTTAAATTCAAATTTCTAATGTTACAGTTTTTAATGTTTATATCATTATCTTTTATTATCTTTTATTGTTTCGTTACTTCATAGTTAATGCATTAACTAACATCAACAATTTGTTATGGTATTCATTAATCTTTGTTAATGCTATAAGAAAAAATACGACTGTTCATTATTAGTTCATGTTTACTCAGGTCCATTAATATTAACAGATACATCTTCTGATTTTAATAATGTATTAGTAAATACTGAAATCAACTGGAATGGCTGGAAAAGAGCAACCAGCACTTTCTTCAAAATTTCTCCTTTTGCGTTCCACAGTAGAAATAAAACTATACAGATTTGTAAAGACGTGAGGGAGAGTAAACAACGACAGAATTTTCATTTTTGAAGCTCAGTTTTGTAGTGATGCCATAGAACCATTTTGTGTTTGTGTGAACATTTATAACATTTTAATAATCTAGATAATCTTTTTTTCTGTTACCGTTTCCATTTTACCTTTTGTGCAATGGAAAGGTTCCATGGATGTCAAAAATTCTTCATGGAACCATAGATGCTAGTAAAGAACCTTTATTTTTAAGAGGGAAAACTATCCCTTGACAAATTCCACCGGCCATAGATAAGAATCACTTTTACTTTAGGCAATAACAGCCTTCTATTGAAAGATGTGTGGGGTGTGTCTAAACACGCATGTATTTTACCAACCCTGCGAACACACACACTTAGAAGCGATGCCAGCACTGTCAGACTGTGTTTCTTATATTCCTTCGAGCGTGATCAGCTGGAAGGTAAACAGAGTGCTGAATGATATGCCCTTTGCCCCGAGGGCCTCTAAGCTTCTCACGCACATCCTTCTCCGCTCTGCATTCCCCAGCTCTCTTTCTTCAGAAGTCACATCACACACTGCCTATTAAAAGGCTGAAAGGAATTCCGGTACTGGAAATAAAGATGGCAGGTGCGATCCACCAAAAGGCTTGCACTTGCATCAACTGATTCCAGAAAGAAAATATTGATTTTAATCACACCATTGCTTGTGAATGGTGTGCTTGAAATTAAACATGAAGAATGGGGCTAGGATTTGAAATATTAAAAAATAATCCATCGTGTTCTTCTTACTCTCATAATATTTAACACACACTCATGCATTTTGGAGGAAAGACATATTATTCAAAGATAATGTGAATATATTCTTCCACTAGTATGTTACGGCTTGTACAATAATTTTTTTCATCTTCAGAGTTAAAAAGCAATAGACAGTTAAATATCTAACAAAAATAGGGATTGATTTCTCTCTTTTTTGTATGATTATGTATCAAACAGACTATGGATTAACAATAAAATTGCTTTAAACAAGTAGGAGAGGACGGGTATCACTATCAAGACACCCCAATTAAGAACTAATAAATAATATATTTAAATATGAGCTCTTCATGTACAGGATGAAGTTGCACCATTCAGTTTAGGTGGAATAACTGAAAGAAAAAAAAAATTTGAACGGGGTCATCTTGTGATCCCCGGGGCCAGTAAACTTGTCCCAGCTATTATCAAAGATAATGTGAATATATTCTTCCACTAGTATGTTACGGCTTGTACAATAATTTTTTTCATCTTCAGAGTTAAAAAGCAATAGACAGTTAAATATCTAACAAAAATAGGGATTGATTTCTCTCTTTTTTGTATGATTATGTATCAAACAGACTATGGATTAACAATAAAATTGCTTTAAACAAGTAGGAGAGGACGGGTATCACTATCAAGACACCCCAATTAAGAACTAATAAATAATATATTTAAATATGAGCTCTTCATGTACAGGATGACGTTGCACCATTCAGTTTAGGTGGAATAACTGAAAAAAAAAAAAAATTGAACGGGGCCATCTTGTGATCCCCGGGGCCAGTAAACTTGTCCCAGCTATTATCACATTTTTTAAACACATATTAATATTTTTAAAGTAATTAATGCAAAAAATATTATTTTTCATTATTTCATAATATTATTCATTATTTAATTATGCATTTTATCAGTTTAGTTCACTCAAATTTGAGAAACTGAAAAAAATCACTGAATCAGAGTTTAAACAAGAATGGAATTTCGCCATATTAAAAATGACTACATTTAAATGGAATTCTGCTGAATTAAAGACTTCTCGTTTGGAGACTTAGTTAGTTGATTTCTGATTAGCTTTTTCAAGTCACGAGTTATCACGTGGAAAAAAGACAGAAATGTGTTATTTGCATGCGTGATATTTAAACTGCATTTATCTACACTAAAAAAAAGTCTAGAAAAAAAAACAGGGTATAATTAATTTACACTTACAAATTGATGGTAAATAGTAATATATAGTAATAGTAATAATTCGAAATATCATTTTTACAGTGTATTAGTATAAGACCAGATCATATATTAGGACCGATTTTTGTAGAAATACATTGTAAATTAGAGGTTCACACATTTTTTCCTGCAACTGTATGTTTTTCTATCAACAGTTAATTGGAATACAGTATGTAGGCTGTGAGCGCTGTGATCTAAACTGAAATAAAGCGGCTGGGGTTCTCTCGCCAAAAATAACAGCACGAGCGCTGCCTGCCGTCTCATTTATTCCTTTGATGCCATCGTGAGGCAACATCACACATTACAGCCAGTCACATGTCTAACGTGCTAGAAGTTTGATGGGGAAATCATAATTATAATGGGTTATATAGAATCAGTAGCTTGTTAAAAGAGTGGCAGTTCGACAGCAGTTTTCCGTCAATTTTCGGCTCAAAGACGAAAAGTATTGTAAGCATGTTAGCCTGAGTATTGAAAATTTAAATAATGATTAAAAATTAAAAATATACTCTAATAATAAATATACTTTAATAATGCAATAACACTAATGAAGGAGAAGAGATCGACTGGTGAATTTATCAGGTCACATACATTACAAAAAACTGATCACCCTTTCTTACAAAAACTTTATCAAATGGAAAGAAAATAAATTAAAAATCTGTTCAACAGCTGGCAAGTATGTAAATTTGATTTTAAAAAGGAAATCCACCAGTGGTGTTTATTTTGATAAACTGTTCTCTTTTTTTCTGGACAATTATCATCATGTGTGTGTGTTTAAGCAAGCGCAATAATTATTCATCACAATATTCGTAAAATATTTAAGAATCATTTATTGACATTTTAATCAACCAAAAATAAGAATCACTGCACAATATAATTTGTATTTATTAATCAAGTGTTGGTAGATTCTGAAACACATTAGAACCATGCATTCAGATTTGCTACTCTTGTCTGTTTTTAGAGGCACATTATAATACTGTAGTAATATGCACCTGTTCAAATAAGTTGAAATCATTCAAATTCTTCAGAATTTTAAGTCCTGTAGCAAATGACAGTGATTGTTTTCCGCAAACCTGCATAAAAACAATCTTTATCTCATACTGATTACATACATTAATTCTAAATGAAAAAGAAAAAAACAAAGCACATATTTTTAAAGCACTATGTTAATGAGAATAAAACAAATGGGCAAAATAAAAATTCTACATATTGTCATAATGCACAAAAGCATTCATTTCATATTTTGGGTCATGCAATAAATTGTAACCCATCATGCTTTTCAATGTATTAGACATGCATTCCATACCTGAGCATTAATATGCTATAAACCTTCATGTATAATATATTTTAAAGCAATTTAATTATAACCGCAAAAGCTGTTTCTCCTGTATTCTAAATATAATTACATGAGATATTTCACAAATAAAGGAGAAATAGAAGAAAATACATGAAAATATAAAGCAAAAAAAAAACAAAAAACACAGACAACAAAAAAAAGGTAGTGACATTATACATTGCAGTGCTTTGCATTATTACAATAGTAAGTTGCTACATTATTACAAATTCTCATTATGTTGTGCTGATTTTTCGTGATAAATAAAGAACGGAGCAAGCCTGTACAGAATATCTTTCAATAAAATTAGCACAGATTGTGTTCACTAAAACAAAACAGTAGGGTTAAAGAAAGAAATTCAGTCAAACCTTGAGATGGGCAGCTTTTCATTAAATATATCACTGTAAATTGAAATACCAAGCTAGGTCATTAGAATGTATTCAAGGCTATCATCACAGTGCTTCAGATATTATGCTCTCAGTTTCATGAAACCATGCGGCTTTTGCTTTGGAAAAACACAACCATTTTAATACATGAGCTCTTGTTTTTTTTTTTTTTTTTTTTGTGTACTGTTCTCTGAGGTCCACTTATAATGTTATCAAGATTCTTACATCAAACAACATCATAATTTAGAAGTAATAGGCCATTTTCTGTCCTGTTTTTAACCCCCCTCATCAGAACACTCTGTTTGATAAAACATTAGGCTTTTTTTTTTTTTTTTTTTTTTTACTAACTATTTAGAGCATAAAAACATGCTGTCAGAGCCTGGTATAAGTGAAATGCTGGTAAAAGACGGTTTAGGCACTGGAATCCTCTTTTAAGCGCTGACTGCGAGCCTTGTAGACTTCAATCAGGAGATCTTTCACATACTGAATCTCTCTCTCTACAGATTCTGCTTTGTCCCGAAGTTCTCTGTTGCGCCCTTCCAAACCATGAAGCTCCTCCTCCAAACAGTCCTGCTCCACCCTCTTACGCTGACGGTACCTATTGTTTTTTGGCAACATTTGTGGAATGAAATAACATGGTTCAGCTTTTCTGCTCATTTGAAGCAAACATGCTTGCTTTTTATTAACTCATGCAATATTCTAGCACTTTCATTTGACTGAGTCACCAAAAACAAAGTGGGTACAGTACCTGTGGGCAGCAGACTTGTTCTGATCTCTCTTCTTCTGCTTGCGTTCACCATGGTTTCTCTCCAAGGAACCTACTTTAACATCTGGCTTAAACACACACTGACTTTCCCGTGACCTTTGTAGTGGTTTCTGGATGGGCAACTCCAAAGAGGACCCAACACTGTCTCCGGACAGACATTCAAAGCTTTGATCCCCAAGGCATTCGTGGTGCAAGTAGTCATTATTCTGGATATCAACAGCCCCAGTTCTGATTGGCTGATCGATTTCATTCATGAAGCCGTGATATGGCTCTAAATTGGCAGTAATCTGATGAAAGTAGCACTCGGCTACTTCAGATTGTTTATACGGCGGACAGCTCTCGCTCTCGGCGCACTGCAAAATGGGCATGGCAATCCCGTCATGGCCGAACATCTTCATCCCGTGGCTCTGGCCCTCCCGCCTGTGGTGGGGCTCCAGGGACCCGCCGAGATCGTAACTTCTCATCATCTCGGCTCGGTATAACACGTCTTCCATTAAGCAACTTTTTTCTTCTTCCTTCAACAGTATGGCACATTCTCGAACCTTCTTTGCACTCGCGTGGCTCTTTCCGAAGGATTTGTCGACAGAGCTCTGGTCAAAAGCCAGCTCTGCGTAACCTGAATGAGTCCCTTTGAAAGTCCACGTTTCCTTCTCGAACACCTCGACATCCTTACATCCGTTCGTTGACATTCTTTGGCTGTTGCAGTGTGTCCGAATATAGCTGTAGGGGCCGGGTCGAGACATTTTCGGTCGGCTCATGGAGCCCCCACAGAAGCCTCTCAGGTCGAGATCTCCAGTTGCTAGGGAAACCAGCCTGGGATTAGTTTCAGATTGGTTTACATTGTACGAAGCGCAGGGTAACTGATAGTATGACTGCGTAGCCATAGCTTGCAAGCTTTTGTCACATTTTTGCCATTTCTCCAATTTCATAGGTGCCGATTCATACAGGTAATAATCCTCCAGTTGAGCCAGTTCTTCTTTAAGAAGAGTGGTCATAACCTCCAAGTCGGAGGGCATTTGGACATCATGCTCCAGAGGTGAAGGTGGGATAGAGGAACCAGGAGAGGATTCCGTGGAAGTTGAGTTTGGGTAAGCGTCAAAAGTTTTTGGCATCCAATCTGTAGAGAAAAACAATCCGATTAATTCAATAAAAGCATTTTATGAACACACAGATGAAATATTTTCAACATGCATGGTTGCGCAAATGGTCTATGAATAGCTATATATTTTTCTGTTAAACTATGCAAGTAGCAATAGCAAAAAAAAAAAAGAAAGATGAAACGATGTGGATCACCAAAATATTTGCTTTACTTACTGTACGCCATTAACACATACGCTGCAGTGCGGTTCCCACCAACAATCGGACAAAATAAAAGTGTCGTACTGCTTACCAATTTAGTCCTACGTCTGTGCAGACTCCTCCCTCCACCTATGATTGGCCTTCGTTAGCCAGTAGGAAAGAGGGAGCTCTTAAGCCGGCTGTGCAAATGAGGGGAGTCTTCCTGGGAATAATCTATGCCGCCGCAATTTGCTGTATTCCGGTTGAAATGGTGAATTGCGTACAATGCATGAGAATCGAAGAAATGCCACATACAGGAAAGAGATGCGAAAAACTGAAACCTATATGAAAATGTAAAAAAAAAGTTAAAAAAAAAAAAAAAAAAAATG